CCCTTTTGGGGTAGGGGCGTGTTTGTTTTGGTGATTTCAAATATCAACATTGGCTACCAGAAATCGCTTACCCTGCCTTTAATTGGTACCTGGATTAAATATTGCAGTTTTAATTGGTTTCAATGGGGACATTTTTAGCCTTAAGGTCCCGACTCCCGAGTCTATTTTTTTTATCTAGTGTAAAGTAGATATATGAAAGGAAATTAGGGAGAAATATTAAAATTCCAATAAACATACACATTTAGGCGAAAATGTATGCTGTTTGAATTAACACAGGCAAGAAAAGAAATAAAATCCTAAGGATGAACAAGGGTTAACTATCACTAACAACATCAGTATCATCAAGTACAATAAAAAGCTGAATGAACATACATTACATACATACCATACATAACTGAATTCGGGCACTGACATGCGGGGCGATGGGGCTATATATATATATATATATATAATTAAGGATGTACTGGGCATTGAAGGTGAAACAGACCCATCGCCCCGCATGTCAGCGCCTGAATTCAGTTGCAAATAAGATAACGTATATTCCTAATGATAACTAATCAGACAGTCACACACTGCACTGTAACTGTGTAGATTTATTACTACTCGCACAGCACATGTAAATAGTTTTAGAATAAAAAAAAAAGAAAGAAAACAGTGACATTTAGTTTAGACATTGTTTTGAGACATTAACTGCATTCCTCAGATTTCACATACACCACAAACTAAATATTTAACATGAATGAAATGAAATGAAACAAAACAGGTTCTGCAGTTTTGTAAGAGATGGTATAGCAAACCATGGGATCTAAACCCTAGCCTGATTTCAACCATATTTCAAATAAAAACAACTTGTATATGCAACACATACACAGGATTGTTCTACATGCCAAAAACAGCTGGTGTCCGGTCATATTACATATTTTTTACACTCAATGGACATACAGTACTTTGAAGGTTTGGGAGAAACAAATATAAACTTTAAGATGCCGCCAAACTTTCTTCTGTTGCACATAAGAGCCCAACTTGAAGCTAAAAACTATTGTTATACATTATACCAGGTGGACTAGAACCATATTTTAGCTCATAATTTGACATTTTTGAGTATTTTATCATGTGAAATCACTTTTATACTCTGTATCAGTAGATCAAATGACACAATCCATTTTATTATGTTTCAATCGTTAATAAACATACTGGTGTAATGTAGTTCAAATTAGGTAAGAAGATCAAACGAATAGTGCCTGTAATACATATTCATACAAAAAACAACTTGTATATGCAACACATACACAGGATTGTTCTACATGCCAAAAACAGCTGGTGTCCGGTCATATTACATATTTTTTACACTCAATGGACATACAGTACTTTGAAGGTTTGGGAGAAACAAATATAAACTTTAAGATGCCGCCAAACTTTCTTCTGTTGCACATAAGAGCCCAACTTGAAGCTAAAAACTATTGTTATACATTATACCAGGTGGACTAGAACCATATTTTAGCTCATAATTTGACATTTTTGAGTATTTTATCATGTGAAATCACTTTTATACTCTGTATCAGTAGATCAAATGACACAATCCATTTTATTATGTTTCAATCGTTAATAAACATACTGGTGTAATGTAGTTCAAATTAGGTAAGAAGATCAAACGAATAGTGCCTGTAATACATAGTTTAAGTTTAAAATGATGTATTATTTTGGTTTTCATATTATTTGATGGTCACATTTAATTTGAACAGGAATAGATCAGAATTGCTGGAACAATCTGAAAATCTACTAAAGATCAGCTGTAGAAGACTAAAAGCATCAATGTGTCCTAAAGCTACCTAAAGACTTGTGGCTGTGTTTATAAGCTGCCTTACACTAAAAACAGAGTCTGAAACAAAGCCGGTATTGGCTTTGAACTCTTTATAAAACTTTCAAAGCTGGTAAACATATTAAAGTGAAATATTATCCTGATTTACAAAGCTTAATCTGAGCAATATGCATGTAATGTGTATGTGAAACATGATTACGCATTTCAAGACACCAGCAGATGAGACGCAACCATTTCCATCATTTAAGAATTAGTTAAGAAAATCTAGCGTAGCATTAGTTCTGGCAGGTCACGTTAGTCTAGCTCGCATCAGCTGCCTCTCAGCTGATCCCCATCTACCTATAGGAATACGACACCCATCTAAGCATTCATATATAAGGTCCCTCAGTATTATCAGCAGTTTTTGCATTGCTCAATAGCTGATTACCCTCCTCCATCCCCAGCTCCTCCTCTGTCAGTCAGGATTCAGCCTTCTGATTCTCCTTTGAATCAGACTAATTCTAAAATGTGTACATAAAATTATTGAACTTTAACGATATCTGCAATACATTTATGTTAGTTCTGTTAACCCTGGTCATATTACATATTTTTTACACTCAATGGACATACAGTACTTTGAAGGTTTGGGAGAAACAAATATAAACTTTAAGATGCCGCCAAACTTTCTTCTGTTGCACATAAGAGCCCAACTTGAAGCTAAAAACTATTGTTATACATTATACCAGGTGGACTAGAACCATATTTTAGCTCATAATTTGACATTTTTGAGTATTTTATCATGTGAAATCACTTTTATACTCTGTATCAGTAGATCAAATGACACAATCCATTTTATTATGTTTCAATCGTTAATAAACATACTGGTGTAATGTAGTTCAAATTAGGTAAGAAGATCAAACGAATAGTGCCTGTAATACATAAAGTTTAAAATGATGTATTATTTTGGTTTTCATATTATTTGATGGTCACATTTAATTTGAACAGGAATAGATCAGAATTGCTGGAACAATCTGAAAATCTACTAAAGATCAGCTGTAGAAGACTAAAAGCATCAATGTGTCCTAAAGCTACCTAAAGACTTGTGGCTGTGTTTATAAGCTGCCTTACACTAAAAACAGAGTCTGAAACAAAGCCGGTATTGGCTTTGAACTCTTTATAAAACTTTCAAAGCTGGTAAACATATTAAAGTGAAATATTATCCTGATTTACAAAGCTTAATCTGAGCAATATGCATGTAATGTGTATGTGAAACATGATTACGCATTTCAAGACACCAGCAGATGAGACGCAACCATTTCCATCATTTAAGAATTAGTTAAGAAAATCTAGCGTAGCATTAGTTCTGGCAGGTCACGTTAGTCTAGCTCGCATCAGCTGCCTCTCAGCTGATCCCCATCTACCTATAGGAATACGACACCCATCTAAGCATTCATATATAAGGTCCCTCAGTATTATCAGCAGTTTTTGCATTGCTCAATAGCTGATTACCCTCCTCCATCCCCAGCTCCTCCTCTGTCAGTCAGGATTCAGCCTTCTGATTCTCCTTTGAATCAGACTAATTCTAAAATGTGTACATAAAATTATTGAACTTTAACGATATCTGCAATACATTTATGTTAGTTCTGTTAACCCTGGGTGGGTGGGGGTACCGCCAATTCAAACTGTATGCTAATTGTCAATCATCTTTGACGATAGTGGTCCTGACAGAACCAAGCTTTACTCGACTTGTACAGACGTTCAGATGCAATTATATGAATGAAAGCAGGTGTAGCACACTGCTCATATGTGCAGATAATAGCTCTGAACGCGTAAACATTGCGAATGGAAAGCTGCATTGTTTACAACAGCAAAGAATGAGTTATTATAAAATATCAGCATAGAAAAAACCCCAATAAATTAGTGAACATGTTAGTTAGATATAGAAAATCTACGATCTCTGTTGTCTCTTCCATTATTATAAAAAATGTGAAAGAAAAAGAAATATCAAAACAGAAACAAGGACTTAAGAGTTTTTCTTGGTTAAATCTACATGTTTCCGACCTGTAGCCCAGGAATTACGTAACGTACATGGTAACAAAATAAACCTGGAATATATAATATTAGCCTGCACCGTGTAGTAATGAATATATATGACATTCAGCAGTGTTGGAGTATCGACTGAACCTCAGAAAGTCTTTCCTGGTGGAATGCTGAGGTCTGAAATCGTTCTGCTGAAGCTGGAGGTGAACAGAGAGGTCACAGTGGTTAGCAAGTGTGCTCTCGTCTAGGATTTGTTGGCATCTCTGACCTTCTGGATTTCCTGTTCAAGGAAGAGAAACCACGGAGAGCTTACAGAGGGACATCTGTTATACAGATGAAGGAAGACACTAGAGGGATTTTAACATGAATATGGATTAGTGGTCGACCGATATTGGTTTTTTGAAAGCCGTTGCCGATATCTTGGAAAGCAGAGTGGCCGATATTATTTATTTTAATTAATATTTAAGAAATTTTAAATCATCTGAAAATGGATTTAAAAATAAATGTGTAAAATAAACATACTTATACTTTAGATGACAATGTATTTTTCACAAATAAATAAATATTTAATAAAAAGTCAACATTGTAACCAAAAGGGCACTCAGTAATCTGGGAAGTTTGTGTGCATTGGGAATCATATTTTTTCAAATAAAGCCAAGGTAAGAGTAATTTACACACAGTGAAAATGACATTAATGTGACAGTGGGCAAATGGATAAAGCGCAGCATAATTTGAAATCACGAGTTTAAATTTTGTCGCTCACGCATCTCCAGTGAGGCTGAACTCTCCTCCTGTCCGCATTCAATTTGCACAGACCGACCATCATGCAGAGAACACGCGATCATGCAAGATCTCAACTGGATTCGACTAAGTTTGCAAGGTTTGTGAAATTAAATGTTCATTAACAGACATTCAAATATTTGTTCAAATGATTTAAATGCGTATTTGCTGAATGCTGACGGCAAACGAGACCGTATTATAATGTTTGCTTTTCTATTACTAATCATATAAAAGCAATCGTTATAATACTTTTTTAAATACATTTTAATTCCTTTGTTTAACTGTTCTCTGATTATTAGACAGACTTCTAGACAGAACTGTTAATGACGACAGCAAAAACGAGGGAGAATGTGAGCACTGTGTGCTCAGACGCTGCTGTTCTCCGCGCCGTTAAAATAAAAGTCCCGCCTCGAAAGCATCGGCCAAACAGGAAAAACTTATCAGCCGATGCTGATATGTGAAAAATACCAAATATCGGCCGATATATCGGCATTGGCGATATATCGGTTGACAACTAATATGGACGTAAAGGTATGATGGTTTTGTGGTACACTGTGGCTTTATCTCATACACTTTTTCCAATAAATTTTAAGTTGTTTTTTCCCCCCTAAAATTTAAGTAGAGGAATTAAATTACATCAGATACACTGAATTAGGAGAGAAAATTGTGTAAATGAACACTAATATGGATGTAAAGGTATGATGGTTTTGTGGTACACTGTGGCTTTATCTCATACACTTTTTTTAAGTAGAGGAATTAAATTACATCAGATACACTGAATTAGGAGAGAAAATTGTGTAAATGAAAATGTCTAAATTCAAACAGAGCGCTGCTGGCTGTATAATATTTCGGGTGTTTAAAAAACCCACGAAGCACCATTAACATTAATGATTAGGCAGTTTGGGGAAAAAAGAGAGGTGAATTGTAGAGCTGCACAATTAATGGAATTTCTAATCGCGATTACGCCACAATTACGAAATCGTTCAAAGCGGCAATTAATCATTCAAAGTCCACTTATGTTATTCTGCGTGCTTTAGATGTGTTTTTTCTTTCTACAGATAATCTTAAGGGGTTTTCCATTGTTTTAATTTTAGTATAACGTAATACCATTCATATTTTCACTTTTTTTTTAATTTAAAGAAGAAACCAATTGGGGAAAAAAGAGAGGTGAATTGTAGAGCTGCACAATGAATGGAATTTCTAATCGCGATTACGATTACGCCACAATTATGAAATCGTTCAAAGCGGCAATTAATCTTTCAAAGTCCACTTATGTTATTCTGCGTGCTTTAGATGTGTTTTTTCTTTCTACAGATAATCTTAAGGGGTTTTCCATTGTTTTAATTTTAGTATAACGTAATACCATTCATATTTTCACTTTTTTTTTAATTTAAAGAAGAAACCAATCCAACGTATAGTTGACATTGAGGCTTAATACTATAGAAAAACAATAAATGTTTTTCAGTTAGTGTTTTCATCTCTAAAAATATGGCATGCGGTTGCTTCAAACAATGGTGGTGTAAACATTATTCAATGTAAATAGTGATAATCGTAATTAATAAATCGCAATTACAATTTCAAGGGAGTAATCGACAATTATGATTTTTGTCAATCGTGCACGCCTACAAGCTAATAAAGTATATACATAACTGTTTTAGTATATATAATATTCATACAATACAGAATTAGTTGAAATACATCATGGAAGCTTGTTTCCACCATGGAATAAAAAAAAAAAGTGAAATATAATTGCAACTTCTCACAATTCTGACTTTTTTCTTGCCCTTTCTCACAATTGCGAGGTTATATATCCCACAATCCTGACTTCTTTTCTCTGAATTGTGGGATATAAACTCGCAAATGTGAGTTATAAATCCAAGTCAGCTCACAACTGGCATTTTCTTACAATTGCGAGTTTATATCCCACAATTCTGACTTTATAAATCACAGTCGTGCATATAAAGTCAGAAATGCAAGATATAAACTCGCAATTGTGAGATAAAAAGTCACAATTACATTTCTTATTTTTCTATCCCGTGGTTGAACGGCTTCCGTAATACACTTTATTTGTAAAGTAATAAAAAAAACAACAGAAAATAGAACGCACTATGGGAAAATAATAAATAAGCTATAAAATGCGTAACTGTTTAACAATATTTTTTTTCTAAATAAAATTTTTGCTCAACTGGATTTTATCTCACAATTCTGACTTTTTTCTTGCCCTTTCTCACAATTGCGAGGTTATATATCCCACAAACCTGACTTCTTTTCTCTGAATTGTGGGATATAAACTCGCAAATGTGAGTTATAAATCCAAGTCAGCTCACAACTGGCATTTTCTTACAATTGCGAGTTTATATCCCACAATTCTGACTTTATAAATCACAGTCGTGCATATAAAGTCAGAAATGCAAGATATAAACTCGCAATTGTGAGATAAAAAGTCACAATTACATTTCTTATTTTTCTATCCCGTGGTTGAACGGCTTCCGTAATACACTTTATTTGTAAAGTAATAAAAAAAACAACAGAAAATAGAACGCACTATGGGAAAATAATAAATAAGCTATAAAATGCGTAACTGTTTAACAATATTTTTTTTCTAAATAAAATTTTTGCTCAACTGGATTTTGTTAATCTGTTCCAAAGAAATCCAAAATAAAGTAAATAACTGGTTGCAACTGAAATATGTCTCTGTGTGTTTATCAGAGGGATGTCTATTAAATTTTTTTTATTAGCAGTGCATCCTGATACTGTGATAGAGTGCTATATTTGTGAACGTTTTTATATTTTTCATCAAAATCTCATACCATTCCACAATCCAAATTTTTTGGGAGCAAGTATTTAATTTTACACTGGTGCTTTTATGGGAAGCCTGTACAGTCGGACTAATTTAGTAAATCTGGCCTCTAGTGATGAACATTTAGGCTGGAAAAAAATTACCTCAAGAACAGCATCTTTTAATTTTCCATACGCTACGTCAAGATCATCATTGATAATCACCACATCAAATAAACCTGGCTCTTTGCCTGAAATATGGATATATAAAAGTTAGCATGCTACTCCAGATGTGAAAAAAACACTGCAGTATTTCATTAAAAATAATTAGCATAGGAACGGACACTTACTTATTTCCATGTCCACTTTTGCTGCATGTAAACGCTTTTGTAAACTTTCCTCAGATTCAGTTTTTCTATCCCTTAATCGTTTTTCCTGAAGACATACAATTTTAGATTAAAACGTGAAGACGACACATAAACAGAACATTTGGATTGGAATGATTTACAGTATTTCTCACCAGGATTTCCATTGACGGAGGCTGGATGGACACATAGACGGGGTTGAGATCGGTTCTCTTGATGTTCTTCACTCCCTGCATGTCAATGTCCAAAATGCAAATCATATTTTTGGCCTGAACAGCCTGTACAGCTGCTTTACTGTGAACGAGGCAAAAACGGTGTTAGTTACAATTACATACATATTCCTGCATACATGTAGTATTTCTCTAGTTTGAACATGATGACAAACATCAGTGATGGGTCGTTCATGAATGATTTGTTCATTGCTTCGGTCACATGACAAATCAACTAAAGACTCGGGAGGTAAACTAATCACTTATGGTACTCATCTTTGGCTACATTATAATGATTTCCTAATCATTACGTGTTTGAAGAATTTGGCTGTTGAAAATGTAATACACAAATAAACAAAATTTTGATGAAATAAACATGGAGAGCAGCTGTCCTGCAGAGTTTAGCTCCAACCCTTATTAACGTTCTGGTACTGTTTGGTCATTTTTGACTGAAAATTTCATTTAAAAAATTTTTTTTTTTTACTTCATTGGAATGGAACGCAACTTGGTAAAGGTTTTGGCACTTGCTATGTGAACACACAAACACATACAAAATAAACGGTCCTGAAAAAAAAATAGTCACACTTGCACTGTTCATGGTCAAAAATGACCTCATTGGAAATTAATGGGAAGTGAATTTCTTCTAGTGGAAACGTTTGGTCCTGAAAGTTCATTTTTTGAGACCTCAACCTCAAAAAAACAACAAAAAAAACCTTGTTTAGATATAGGGCTTTGATTTTCACACCGTTTGAGGGTAAAACATTTTATATTTCTTATAAAATGTAAAAATTTTATTTTGTGCATTTTTCCGAATTATTTTTTAAATTATTGTATGTATGCATATGAAGAGTTTATACTCCGTTTTTTTAAATGTTCAAAAATCATGTTTTTTATTGTGTTTTATGGTGTCAGTTAGCTGTCATTTTTGGTTATTTTTTAACCTAATCAAAATAACCCAACTGCAGTTTGATTGAGATTAATTGGAATGCACAATGAAAAAACATGATTTTTGAGAATTGGTAAAAACGGAGTTATCCGTTTTTTGCAAATGATCTCTTCATATATATATATATGAATCACCTGAATCAGCTAATCAAGGTCTTGAAACTTCCAGTAAAGTGTGTTGGAGTTAAAACTCTGCAGGACACCTCTGTTACAAACCATTCAGTAATGGCAAAATCGTTTAAGAAATTATTTTAGTATCAAAAGAAGGATGTCAGAAATGTACCTTCACATATAAACGCAAGACTCTTTATAAGGAGGACTGTACCTCGTTCCATACATGTTCCCTGAAAATTCAGCATTTTCGATAAATTCACCATTTGCTATGGCTGCCTTCATCACTTCCCTGGTAACGTAATGATAGTCTGAAGAAAAGATGATATGCGTGTCAGTATGTCAATCATTGACAAACTTGTAACTGATGAGCCAGAATACTAATAAAAACAACAAGCAGCACAAATTCATAGCTGCTGCATCAATTTGAGCTCATCACTGTGTCAATGCATTGCTTCCAGCGCCATCATTACAACACTGAGGTTCAAGAACCGATTCTCTCTTGATGATCTCATGTGTATGAGAAACTACAGCTAAAGGCCTGTTCTCACAAACACTAATGTTCAGCACAAAAACTCAGGTTGACATACCCCATTTGTATTTTTTCTTTTTTATTAATAATTATATGTTTGTCTAAGTATTTGCTGCTATGACTGATATTATACTGATGAGAATAAACAAAGCCAAACAGCCAGTCCAATTTTTTTATTCGCTATTATGTTTTGTGTTATTGAGCAGCGGATCTGGGCATGCAACCAAAATCGTGAATATTATTGTATAAAAAAGGATTGCACTGACGCCATGTGAATGTTTATGTTGGCCTGAACAGTCACATAAACTGCCGTTCACTCAAATTAACATGTTTAATCGCACCAAATTTTTCCACCAAACATTTGTCTTTTTTTTTTTGTGCACAGGCCTTAAGATTTGATTCTGTTGGACTAGTCATGTCAATTGTGATGTCATTGTGAAAACATGTTATGCTTGCTGGGTTTTGTTCAGTGAGGATAATGCAAAATAGGGCTGGGTAAAAAATATTGATATCTCGATATTGATCGATTCTCATTTTTACGGAACGATATAGATTCTTAATTCCCAAGAATCGATGAGTCTAGCCTGTTTACAGTTAATGGACAGAACGTTGAAGGGTGCTTCCCATCCAATATATCGCAATAAGCATTGTGCGTTGCTACTTTTAATATGAAACAGTCTCAGATTTCAAATTCTGTCCATTGTATTGCAATATTCAAACAATAAATGCCGTTTTGGCGCTGTTTAATGTGGAGTGACAGATCGCTGTAGCGCCTCAGATCAAAAGACGCGTGAACTGATCATCTCCTCCACATTAATATCAGCACAAAATAAACATGACTAAACATCCGAAGGTAAGTTAAAAGAAAATCGCGCAAAGACGTCAATATAACGGCTTGTAAACAATGTCACGTAATGTCACATTTACCTCAGAAAAACATATTTGGTGACCATAAACTCTTTAGTCAGATAGAAAAATAAACTGTAGAGAGGGGCATTTTGTTAAATATATGCAACATATAACATATTCATTATACATTTTACTGTTCTTCAATCTTTAATTTGTTTGAATAAATCCATCAAGTTTTTATGACAGCCACCATTCTGTTTATATATATATATATATAAAAAAAAACGACTTGAAGTAGAAATATTATGATGTAATTGTAACTTTATTATTTAAAAAATTTCTTTAAGTGTAATTTTAACAAATCAGTCAATTTTAAACTTCAATATTATAGTAATGCAGTACTAAATCACTCATGTAAATGAGAAAATTTGGTATGCACTGTACCTGATATATATCCAAAATAATCGATATTGAATCGAATCGTGAAATTTGTGTCAAAACCCAGCCCTAATGCAAAAGATATTTTCAGAAAAGCTGTGTTTTCTGTAGCACCCAAGATCAAAAGCCTAACCTTTGCCGTTCTCCTCTCCTGGACGGGGGCTTCGCGTCGTATCTGGTAAAAGATAATTCTGGGTTATTTTTTAGTTTCCACTAAAGAACAGCATTTGTGCTTCAGTATGTGACTCACGGGAAACGCTGAAGCCAAATACACCCTCAAACTCCTTGAGCAGCTTCTTCAGCAGAGTGCTTTTGCCAGCTCCAGACGGTCCGCTCATCACCACAGGCCTCGGTCCAGCCATCGCTAAACCACACCAGACACAGAGAGAAGGCAGCCTTCAGAAAACTCTTTCAGACTAAAGTCACTTTCATTCCTTTACCAAACTAATGACTTAGAAGTCTCTTATGCTTAGCTAGGCTCCATTTATTTGATCAAAAATACATAAAATATAATATTGTAAAATATATTGTTAAATTAAATTTCTATTTGAATATGTTTTAAAATGTGATCAAAGCTGTATTTTCAGCATCATTACTCTAGTCTTCAGTGTCACATGATCTTCAGAAATCATTCTAATATGCTGATATGCTGCTCAATTATTGAAAAAATAAATGGTTGAAAACCATTTTTGCCGCTAAATAGTAAAAAACGATACACTTTTTTTTCAGGTTTGATGAATAGAAAGTTCAAAAGAACAGCATTTATTTGAAACAGAAACATTATGAATGTCTTTACTGTCACTTTTGATCAATTTAATGTGCCTTTGCTGAATAACAGTATTAATTTCTTTTTTTAATCTTACTTGCCCTTAACCTTTGAATGTTGAATGTCACGGTTTACACAAAAATATAATAAAAACAGCACTTTTTTTAACTGTATTTTTGATCAACTAAATGCAGCCTTAGTGTGCATAAGACACTTCTTTCAAAAAAATCATGTTATTTTAAACACATATAACTATATATAAAGGTGGACAGGGATGTTTTTTCCTCAACATGTTCCAACAGGCCTGGACCAACAGTTCGTTAGCGCTGAATGGAGTTAATGAGATCAGATGAGGCATCCACTGAGGACACTTTAATGACTGTGATAGTGGAAAACTACAGATCCTGTATTGAGCCATTACATTCAGACACACACACACAAAAACACACACACAAAAACAAAAACACACACACACACACAAAAAAACACACACACACACACAAACACAAACACACAAAAGAGCACAAAAAAACACACACACACACACACACACACACACACACATTACAAACACCTAAAGATCCTAAACAACAAAACACACACACATTAATGAGATCAGATGAGGCATCCACTGAGGACACTTTAATGACTGTGATAGTGGAAAACTACAGATCCTGTATTGAGCCATTACATTCAGACACACACACACAAAAACACACACACACAAACAAAAACACACACACACACACAAACAAAAACACACACACACAAACAAAAA